AGTTATGATAAATTGGGAATCGTTAGTTAAAGGGATGATGATAGAAGGATAACGGAAAACATTTAAAGAGTGCATGGACGAATTGCAGAAGTTAATCATCCCAGTTTTGCATAAAAATGAAAATGGGAAACATGGTCAGATCATGGCTAACAATTGAAATTAAGGATCGTATTAAATCCAAGGATGATTCATAAAAGTTGGCTAAAATAAAAACAACAGACCTAAGAATTGTAAGAATTTAGATTCCAGTAAAGACAGCCAAAGAGAGGTAAGTTTGCGGAACACCTCTATAAGCTTTTACTATTTCTTTGTGAAAAGAAAAAAAAAGAGATTAGTGAAGTCAAGTATGGAAGTATGGATCCTCAATAGGCAGAAATGGGGGAATGTATAATAGGGAATTAAAAGATGGCAAATTAAATACATACTTCAGTTCGGTCTTCACAAGGGAAGACACAAATAACATCCCAAATTAATGGAAGAACACAGGGCGTAATGGGAAGGAGGAATAGAAAGAAATTAATATTAGAAGGAAAATGGTATTGGGGAAACTAATAGGATTAGAGGCAGATAAATCCCCACGGCCTGATAAGCTTCATCTAATTCTTCAGGAAATGGCCCAAGCAATTGTCGATCCATTAGTGGTTGTCTTCCAAAATTCAATTGACTCTGGAACAGTTCCTATGGATTGGAAGGTAGCTAATAATAACCCTACTATTTAAGAAAGGAAGCAGAGAAAAAACATCAAATCATAGACTGGTTGGCTTGATATTGGTAGTGGAAAAAATGCTGAAATGTTTTGAGGATAGAACTATTACAGTCGATCGGGGGAGCTACTGCATGTGGTTTACTGGATTTTCAGAAGGCTTTCAATAAGGTCTCACATAAGAGATTAGCATGCAAAATTAAAACACATGGGATTGGAGGTCACGTACTGAAATGGATAGAGAACTGATCGGCAGACAGGAAACAAAGGTTAGGAATAGATGGTCTTTTTCCCAGTGGCAGGCAGTGACTAGTGATGCACTTCAGGGATCAGCGCTTGGACCCCAGCTATTCACAATATGGATGGTTTAGATGAGCGAACTACACGTCATATCTCCAAGTTTGCAGACGACAAAAAGGTGGGAGGGAGGGTTCGCTGTGAGGATGCAGTGAAGCTACAATGCGGTTTGGACAAATTATGTAAGTAGGCAGACACATAGCAGATGCAGTACAATATGGATAAATGTAAGTTTATCCACTGTGTTAGCAAAAAAACAGGTGGCAGCTTTTTATCAACACAGTGGCAAAGAGGAAAGTACAACAACTCATTGGTGCCCTCATTCACCAATCACTGAAAGTAAGCATGTAGGTGCAACAGGCCGTGAAGACAGCTAATGGTACATTGGCCTTTATAGTGAGAGGATTCAAGTAAAGGAATTATTCTCTTGATTCAACCATACAGGGCATTAGCAAGACCACAACTGGAATATTATGTGCAATTTTGGTCTCCTTATCTGAGGTAGGATGTTCAAACGATTGAGGGAATACAAAGGTATTTCACCAGACTGACTTGTGGGGTGGTGGGGCTGATGTACGGGGAGAGATTGGATCTGTGAGGACTAAATTCACTAGAATTTAGAAGAATGTCAGGGTGGAAGGGGTGGTGGTCATAGAATCTCATAAATCTGTAAAATTTTAACAGCATTGGACAGTCGTATGCAGGAAGGACATTCTCAATGACTGGGGAGTCCAGAAACAGTGGTCACAGTCTAAAGGTAAGGGGTAAACCTTTTAGGTCAGAGATGATGAGGAATTTCTTCACCCAGAGATGGTGAGCCTGGGGAATTCTCTGCCACAGGAAGGTATGGAGGCTAAAACATTAAGACTTTCAACAAAGATGTAAATATGGTTCTAAACAGATTAAAGGATATGGGGAGAATGTGGGAACAGGGTACTGAGCTGGATGATCAGCCATGATTATATTGAATGGTGGAGCAGGCTTCTTGGGCCAAATGCCTATTCCTGCTCTGATGTTATGTTTCTATTAGCTTGGGCATCTGGATTACTCATCCAGTGACATTACCAATACACCAGTGCCTCACCACAACTGAACAAGTATAGGTTCCAAATTACTACCTTTCATCCCTTTGCAATAACCAGTTCATTTTCCTTCCCAAGCTTGATTTACAGTTTCAATATAGACTCAAATCTCTGAGAATGTAGAAGATACAAACATGGGAATGTAAATTAAGCAATGCATTTCATCTGGTTCAAATAATTGGAATAAGTGCAGTGCAGTGCTGTGTGGTGAATACCGAAGCTGAAAGCAGAATCCACAACAGAGTTGTGATTTCAGCTTTGTAACATGATGTAGAAACTTGAACAAAATTACAGAGAGAGGAACAATGACTGGATTCTAACAAGATGAAGATGCTGAGATCACTGTAAAGGTAATGAGAATGGATCAGGAGTAAATCAGAGGGTAACAGATGTTTGTGGATGTTCTGGACCAGACCAAACCCCCTCAAACTACTTCTTATTTTTCAGGTCAGTATAAGGCATTACGTTCCAGATGCAATTCGATTGGTCAAACTACTTGACTTTAAGCAAAACACACTTTATTTTTGCACTACATTTAAAATACAGACAAAATAAAAATAAAAAAATTGGCTTAACTGTACCTCTATTGAAATACCTAACAAAATAATATATTAGGAGTTGTAACAATATAATGGAGTTGATGGTATAACAATATTGTCACTGGACTAATAATCTAGAAGCCCAAGCTAATATTCTGGGCCTATGGGTTCAACTCCCACCACAGCAGTTGGAATTTAAGTTGGGGCGGCACGGTGGCTTAGTGGTTAGCACTGCTACCTCACAGTGCCAGGGACCTGGGTTCGATTCCACCCTCGGGCAACTGTGTGTGGTGTTTGCACATTCTGCCTGTGTCTGTGTCAGTTTCCTCTGAGTGCTCTGGTTTCCTCCCACAGTTCAAAGATGTGCAAGTTATGTGGATTGGCCATGCTAAATTACCCCGTAGTGTTCAGGGATGTGTAGATTAGGTGGGTTATAGGGGGATGGGTCTGGGTGGGCTGCTCTGAGGGTCAGTGTGGACTTGTTGGGCTAAAGGGCCTGTTTCCACACTGTAGGGATTCTATGATCTATTATCTACCACCACTAATTAATTGTTCTAATACAGTAACATCCCATAAACACAATCTTGACAAATGCAAATTCAGTAAAATAGATTGTCTCACATGCAGTGCTAACAGCACAAAGAGAACCCCAGCTTATAGTTGCATCATAGAGAGGAATAAGAGCTTCCACATCCGGCTTCAAGAGAACAGCAATTGCAGAAAGCCAAAACTAAAGATTCTGGTTCTATCGGTGTTTGACCTACCCATCCAGGCTGCTTCTATTGTTCCAACATTTTTTAAAAAAGCCCAAGACCTCACAAGCTGTTTACTTTATTGGCTTGGAGCAGTTCGCTCGACACCTCTGTCTCAAACTTCCTTCACTAAAAAAAAGAACCAAATACACCTCTTAAAGCCATAGTGTCGTCACAGTGGATACATGAAAAAATGTAGCCAAGAGACTGAAATAAGCTGGTAACCTGGTCCAGAAAGAGAGGGTAGATAAGTCATGAGGTGATTGATTGAAACAGGATTGGATGGGAGATGACGACAACAGCTCAAGAAGGGTTAGCAAGACAATTAAATGCAGTGGAATTTCAAAAATAATACATGGGTTTCAGATTGAAAAGCCTAATACGGATCCCAAGTAAATTGGGAAAAGCTGAAATAAAAATAGCAAATGTTTTAAAAAGGACAAAAATGAGAGCCAAGTGTCTCATTAAACAAGATGACATTCAGGGAGAAAACATCTTTGATGGGAATTTCCCAAAACATAATGCGCATGTGAACAAAGCCCCAAGATAGACACCTATATGCACATTTTGATTATGGGAACGTTCTAGTAAAACTACAGGTGGTACGTAATTTTTAACAGCTATTTTTAACAGCTCTAATTGAATGTCAAAGGTGCCTTCAGTCCTTGGATTCTGCTAATTTTCACAATTATCACCTATAGGAGACCACTGTTACAGCTATTAGGTTGCAAATTTGCTTAAAACAGCCACCTTAAGCAGAGGAAACATTAGCTCTGTTGGTAACAGCATGAAATGCACATGAAAGCTTGCTCTCAGTTCAAAGAGATCACATTTGAGCGCATTTGTATTGGAAGTTTTGCCAGCTTGGCTAGAGGGAAGAATCTCTAGTGCATTCTGGGCAGGATGTGGCTCAGTCGTTAGCACTGCTGCAGTTCGATTGGGTTCAATTCCAGCCTCAGATGACTGTCTGTGTGGAGTTTGCACATTCTTCCCATGTCTGCGTGGGTTTCCCCCAGATGCTCTGGTTTCCTCCCACCGTCCAAAGATGTGCAGGTTAGGTGGATTGGCCATGCTAAATTACCTATAGTGTTCAGGGATGTGTAAATTAGGTGGACTAGCCATGGGAAATGCAGGGATAGGGTGGGGGGGTGGGGATGGATCTGGGTGGGATGCTCTTCAGACAGTCAGTCAATGTGGACTTGTTGGGCTGAATGGCCTGTTTCCACACTGTCGGGATTCTATGAATTCTCACCGATCACGTTAGTTTTGGACTCAGGAGTTTCCTGGTGGGGAAGGTGATGACAAAAAGCAAGTCCTTGGGAGCTAAGATTAGCTTTGATTGATTCCTAGATTACAAAGTGTCCAGTGAAGACAGTGCAAATTACAGCCATAACGCAATATTTTTGGACATGCGATGAGTTAAATGGAATAACATCTTGTCTCTTCTTTCAAAATTAATTTGTTGGTTACTGTAAACATCTTACAACTTGAAATCTTGCAACGTTGTCCTGTCAGACTCTGAAAGCTTTATTTTCCAAATTTTTCAGTTTTATCGATCTCTACAGAATGTGGACCAGAAACAATTCTTAGTTCTCCTAGCACAGGTTAAAACAAAACAGAAGCTTACCTTTTTGATAGTTTTAGTCTGAATCAAAGCGAGTTCTCTGTTCTCGTCAGCTACATACAAGGACAATTTCACATAAGGGTCACTGAAAAAGTGAAAAATATCACATTAACACTAATGCATTAGCTTCAATTCTATTTGTATGCCTCTATTTTCAGTTACTGCTTGATACAAACACTACCTGGCAAACTAGAGAAATCAGGTGAGCTGCTTGCTGGCTCTTCTGTGAAATCTGTTCTCAAAGCAGAAGTGTGCTGATTCAGCTTTCTCTCTGCTCTTCATTCAATAGCACAGCCAAACTTGACAAACAAGAGAGGGAGCCTCACATCCACCCCATATCCTAACATATCTAACATTGAAAAATAGAAAAAAATGTCTGCTCACTAAAGACAAATTTATCATTCTGTCCGAAACAAAAAGGGGTTCCACCAATTTAAAGCATATCAAACTTCCTTCTCACACGTACAACAACAGGGGGAAAAAAAAGTACACAGTAAAGTGAAAGCTATGTTAGGACAAATTACTGTATAGTTGCAATGTACTTCAGTTTCCAATGAATATTAAACATTTATATAAATATAGCCAAAGTGTGCTACTAGTTAGGCACCTCACCACCTCTATTTGGTTTACATTCGTTCATGATTCATTAATGAATAAAACAATCCCATAGGCAGCCATACAAATTAGACATGATCCACATTCTACCTGGCAATGATACAAATAAGCTGCCAGAACCACGATAGTAGGTGATATCATAAATTCTTCATGTGATTTAAATCAATCCAGACCATAAAGGCCTCAGACAAAAGAGCAAGAGTAGGCCATTCAGCGTGTCAAGTCTGCTACTCCGATTCAATGAGATCATGGATAACCTGATCATCCTCAGATCTGATTTCCAGCCTTTTGCCTGTAACCCTTAATTCCCGTCCTGGTTAAAAATCTGGAACAAAAACAAAGTTGCTGGAAAAGCTCAGCAGGTCTGGCAGCTGGAATCTGTCTATCTCAGGCTCAAATATACTTAATGACCCTGCCTACGGAGGCCTCTTGGTAAAGAATTCCATGGAGTCACCACCCTCGAAGAAATTCCTCCTCATCTCAGTTTTATATGGACGACCCATTATTCTGAGATACGCCCTCTATGACCCTAGACACTCCCTTAAGGGTAAAACAAACTCTCTGCATCAAACCATTCAAGTCCCCTAATCTTGTATGTTTCAATACAGTTGCTCTCATTCTTCTAAATTTCAATGAACATCGATTTAACGTACTCAACCTCTCCTCCAGTACCTCCATAACTGGGATCAGCATGGTGAACCCTCTCTGCATTGCTGCCAATGCCAGTATATCCTGCCTTAGATAGATGGACCAAAACAGTATTCCAGGTGCAATCTAACTAGTGCTTTGTATAATGTAGCAAGGCTTCCCATTTTTATACTCCATTCCCTTTGAAATAAAGGCCAACATTCCTAATGCCTTCCTGTTATCTGCTGAACTTGTATGCTAGCTTTTTGTGATTTATGAATGAAAAAATCTCAATTCCTTCTGTGCTGTAGCAGTCTGCAGTATTTTTTTCACTTAAATAACATTCAGCTGCTCTATTTTTCCTGCCAAAGTGCATAACTTCACATTTTCCCAGATAACATTCCATCTGCCAACTTTTGAGCACACTCGCTTAACCTGTCTGGAACCCTCTGTACACTTTGCATCAACCTCATTACCTGCCTTCCCACCTGCGTTATTCGCAAACTTTGCTAATAGTATATTCACTTTTCTCATCCAAGTCATGAACATATATTGTTAGTAATTATAGCCCCAGCATTGATCCCCTGCAATATTCCACTAGTTACAGGTTGCCATCCTGAAAATAGCCCCCTTCCCCAACTATCAGTCTTCTATTAGTTAGCCAATTCTCTATCTACATTAATATACTACCTCCAACACCGTGGGTTCTTACCTAGTAGATAGCCTAACATGTGGTTCTTTATCATTGTCTTCCAGAAATTCAAATCAATCACATTCATTGCTTCTCCTTTATTTATCTTGCTTGATACTTTCTCAAACAATTCCAATAAATTTGTCAGGTATGATATCCCCTTCATGAAATCATGCTGACTCGGTTTTATTATGTGTTTCTATATGCACTGTAATTAACTTTATAATAGACGCTTAACATTTTCCCAATAACAAATTTAAGCTCACCTGCCTTTTTTTTTGTCTCCTTCCCTTCTTGAACATCAGCACTTTTCCAATTCTCCCAATATTTTTCCAAAATCAAAGGTCCTTGTAATATTACTACCAGTGCATCCACTATTTCTGAGGCCTTTTCTTGTATTCTTGGATGTAGCCTATCTAGTCCAGGGGACATCTGGGTCTCTTCCCTAGTACGTTTTCTCTAGAGATGTTTATTCTACTTATTTCCTCTCTCCTTTTTTTCCCCTTGATCATTTAACATTTTGCCATTAGTGTCTTCTACCATGAAGATTGATGCAAAACACTTATTCAACACCTCTGCTATTTCCTTGTTCCACATTATTTCCCCAGCTCTGTTCTCCTTTGGGCTACGTTAACTCTGGCCTATCTCTTACTTTTAATTTGAAAATCTCATTGCCCGTCTGGATATTACTTGCAAGTTTACTCTTAAATCTTATTTTCTGGTGTTTTTGGGTCTGTTTTGCTAGTTTCTAAGTGTCTCTAATTGCCTGGTTTACACTAATCTTTGCCAAATTGTATGTTTTTCTTCAAATATATCTGGAAATCTATCGCTGTTCCTTCACTGTTGCTGGGTCCAAATCCTGGAATTCTCTCCCTTACGGCATTATGGGTCAACCCACAGCAGGTGGACTGCAGCGGTTCAAGGCGGCAGCTCAGCACCACCTTCTCAAGGGCAACTAGGGACGGATAATAAATGCTGGCCAGCCAGTGACACACACATCCCACAAAATGAATAAATAAATGAATAAATCCAATGCTTTCCTTACTCCCCTGTTAATCATGCTTGGTTTAACCGCTTTCTGGAACGTTGCTTCCACACAATGATATTTCTTTGTTGTCAGCAATGAACTTTTTTTTAAAATGTTTGTCATTGTTTGAGGTGGCACGGTGGCTCAGTGCTTAGCACTACTGCCTCACAGGACTAGGGACCCAGGTTCAACTCCAGCCTCAGGTGACTGTCTGTGTGGAGTTTGCACATTCTCCCAGTGCTCTGGTTTCCTCCCACAGTCCAAAGATGTACAGGATGGGTGGATTGGCCGTGCTAAATTGCCCAGGGATGTTTAGGTTAGGTGGGTTAGACATGGGAAATACAGGGGTCGGGGAATGGGTCTGGGTGGGATGCTCTTTGGAGGGGCAGTGTGGACTTGTTGGACCGAATGGCCTGTTTCCATACTGTAGGGATTCTATGATGATTGTTGCTCAGCTGTCTTTCCTGCCAAATTCCTTTCCCAATCCAATCCAGCTTGCTGTGCCCTCATTCCTTTATAGTTAGCCTTATTTAAGTTTAGCACAGTTATGCCAATCTGAAGGAGTAAAAAGAAAAATCATCATCTTAGGAACCCTGGGCTTTGAAGACCAAGAGGAAGAAAAAAAATCTATTACAGCTCATTTTAATCTACTGACCACAACAGTAAAGCATAACCCGAACCCTACTGCTCATTTCCCCAAATGTGATCACAGTTGCCCATCACTGAATATCTTACTCTTCTTCAATGCACTCATTGGCCTTAGCTTGTCCTAGTCCACTTGTATTCAGTTCTTACGTCAGTCCTAAACCAATTTAAGCTACCATTATATTGACCTCTAGGAACCTCCCTGTAGTTGAAAATCTCCTCCAATCCTCTCACTTTTCAAATTAACTTCGGTTCCACTTCTAATCATTTCTTCCAGGCTCATCTTAAGCTTATATGTTGGTTTACTTTGGTGATATGCCGTGAAGTGCCTTGGGATTTTATGTTAAATGACTTTAATAAAATGGATGCCTCTAAATGCCATGGAGAGTAAACCAGACTAACACCAGTGCACAGACTCAAATTGCCTCCATCCATAAAACTGTACAAGTCAGTCCCTGTGAGAAGCAAGGCTGATTTCAAATGGGTGGGGGGAGCAAAGAGAAAAAATAACATTTATATTGAATTCTGCTCCAATCATACACATGACAAGTTCGTATCCTAACTTCTGTTGCTTGTGTTATGTGCACAGCTACGGAAAACGCAGTCAAATACACAATGCATTTTGCGCAAGAGTAAACGATATCGTACAAAATGCAACATCAGGAAGAATCATACATAAAAAAATTCGAAACAATCAATCAATAGAGTAATAGAACAAACTCCCAAAACGTCCACAATAAGCATCAAAAACTTTCACAACTTAACAGAACCTAAATTCTGTGCCCAGAAGACTCCACCTTCTGATCTCGTAATGCTTTTCTCACAAACTGCTGTCAATGTAAATTCCCTTCCTGATCTGTATTATTTCATATTATTTCCTGTAGTGCTTCCATTCAATTTAAATCTGTTCTTATGACATTCCTAATCAAAATCTTCACAACTTAACACATCAAACTGCAAACTGCCTTCTCCCTTCTCCAACCTAGTTTTCTTCTCCAAAGTTCTGCTTACTCCCAGATCCAGAGCCATCTTTTGTGCAACTTGAAACCTGAGCCTGTCCAAACGGGAGTGTAGTTTTGCCATGGCAAAAATGTCATTTAACAGTCAGAAGTGACATATTACATCACTCTTCATACTTCTCTACCTGCAGCAGCCTAAGCCATTTTGCTGTGACATTCTATCCAAATGCCCCTTCTATTACATAGCTGAAATTGATTGCTTTTATGTAGTTTTAACCAGGGAAACAAAACACTTCTACTTACACTATTGCAATATTAAGTCTGGAGACCATCAAAGATCGATCTTGGACTCCCTCTAGTTTTTCATCCACATATTGTCCTTCAACAATATCTTTTGGAAAATATATGATAATCCTCATGTACACTGACAACATTCAGATCTGTCTCATAACAATCCTTCTCAATTTGTCTACAGCCTACGATTCATTATTCAGTACTTTCAATATCCAGTACGGGGAGGA